ATTTGGCATTGAACGAGACTGCCCTCAATGACTTTTACCTTGCTTATGTGTTAGGGTGAACCAGCCAGCCGATGCGGAACGATCGTAAGTGAAAAACAGCTGATCATCTGAATGCTGTTCACCTGTGATAACAATTGACAGAGGTTATGATCAGAATTTATCATATGAAAGTATAGAAAGACAGCCGCTGCGATCTTGAATTATAAATAATAAAAACAGTTCAATGTATCTTGTTAAAATTTCAAATATGTACATACAAATATGAGCATATGAACAAATGTACATCAAACATAATGAGAATCTGATATAAACATGTTCGGTACAGAACTGAATAAATAGTTAAGTACACGCTCACTGGCATGCAGGCACTATTGAAACGGAACCTGAAGAGGTGCCCGTCGAGTGCTATCAGTTTTACGACCTGCTTCCGCGGCCCGATGCTTTCGTATCATCATTCTTCCTTGTAGATCCGAAGCGTTAACCGTTCCGAGTCAGTTCTCAGACAACAGTTTCGTTCTGAACTACTTCATTGTCAGCCACATGGTTGGCTAACTTCTTGTCGAAAGGTTTCATGTATTCCACGTTTTCCACGCATATGCCACTGGTCTTTTTCTCTGGTACTTCGTTGTAGTAGACGATGGTTGGCTCTACAACAAAAAATTTTCCTCATCGCGTCGCGAGAGAAATTTTCTGAATAACGCACCTGTACCGGAAGGAGCGGTCACAACTGGGGTGTAAAACAGAAAAACGTTGTCTTCGTTGTGGTCTGTCTTTGCTTGCGGCTGCTGCGAATCCGGGACTAAATAGTTGTCCACATCGGTAGCGAGTACTTGTGCAGCAGGTTTTTCTTCTAATCAGTTATAAAGGATTTCATAACAAAGAAAATCATGATTTATGAATAGAAAGCGAGAAAAACAATAAAAAAACGATGGAGTGTTACTGAAACGTTAAATATGCAACAGACTTGTGTCAGAAACACCAGTTAACTCTAATACAAATAAAATTAAGTATTATTAGTCGTGAACAGAAATATGTTAAATGCGTTGTTGTCACTCTTATAACAGAGTCGTACATGGTTTCGAGGTTCCATTGTTGACTCAGCAAAATTATCAACGCTGCAAAAGTGGATCGGTCTTCTTTTGAATCAAACGTGCAACCTACTGACGTATTTCTCTAAAAAATGTCGAAAGGATTCGAACACTGGGTCGATTGGGTGAGCCTTTCGCCAAGAATTAAATGGGCCAGCAGTATCGACAAAAGTTCGCCTGCTGACAGTTAGTACCACATGTCCTAACGGCTGAGATGGAAGAAATGACTTCCAAAGTCAGTCAACTGGTTGTCACATAACGTAGCAGCATAACATATATTTATTAACATGTCAATTAAAAAGTCCACAACAATTAAAACGTGTCCACGGCATGTCGGATGCCTCTGTGATATCTGGTCTGGTTTCATCCTGATCCTTCAACCTGAAGACTTCCGAAACTCAACCTATTGCTGTTCTTGAAAAAGGTGCATGAAACTCCGACTGACCATTCTCTTCGTGCTGTATGTAAATAAATCATGTTTTGTACCATTTTCAGTACGACCACCAGCGTAAGAACGAAACAGTGAGTATCCTTGGTTCACAATACTGACGATTGCTCCAAAGTTTTTGAAATATTGTGCTTTTGAGCCGTACTTTTAGGACTAGCTTCTCGAAAACGAGCTACTACTTATCGAACATTATGGGACTTTATTTTTCGCTTTACGCCTGTACCCTTGACGAAGTAATTTGACCATCGGATCACCCCGCGTGTTCTTGGGCGACCGACCGACTTGTTG